GAAAGCAGTGTCATTATGTCTGGCATCTTTTCCATCTAAATTCCAAAAAATGGCTGTCAGTCAGGGGTGAACAACCAGGGAATGTGGAAGGGGGAGAAGGTTGAAAGTTCACTCCTGCATGTTGTCCCTCTAAAAGACTTTCTGAAGGGATCAATGGTGATACTGTATTTTTTTTTAAATAGGGACATTCCAGAGTTAGTATTATTTGGCATTAAAGGAATCAGAAGTTCTATCATTGCCAAGTACTTCAATTTTTCTTTAGCTTCAAGTCTTCTTATTACTCTTTTCTTAATTTAGGTATTAGTAACATTCCAGCAGGGGCCTCAGGGGTATAAACAAAATAATTAATATTTGCTCTTACAGCCTGTTTTTTCTCCAGTTTTTGAAGCTAGCTGTACACTTTCTTTTAGCTCTCTATTTTATTCTTTATATTCTGGCAAATCAAAGAATACTGCAAATAATTCAGTATATCATATTATTTGTGAATAGTTATGAGTGGTAAAATTCACCAGTAATGATGATATTAAGGAACAGGGGAAAGGAACTGTTATTCAAACTATAGAAAACAAATTTTCTGTTGCATTCCAGAAGCTTACTGCATTTCTTGTTTAGAAAACAATTTTATGTATATAAAACTATTACAAGAGAAAAATCAAGTATCTTTTTAAGAAGAGTCTTCATGAAACAGACCGGGTGATAGAACAAAGAAATGCTTCAAAGGAGGATTCTTAATAAAAACTCTATGGAGCTGTGGTGTTGCAAATTTGGAAAGTGTAATGTTGGATACATTTCAAAGCTGCTTACAGAGATTTAATAAAGAGTTTGAAAATTAAATCTTGCCCATTTGCATTCAAACGTATTGAAACAAATGCAGTAAGAGCCTTTCATTTACACGCAACAGAAAGGCAAGTTTAGATGTAACCCTTAGAAGCCATTGGGGTAGGAGACACTTGGCCTTCTGTGTTGTTGGGTTTTGTTTTGTTTTTCAAATATAGATAAGGTATCTAATTCTGTCTAAACTTGATTTCTTAATTCAGATGTTCTTCTGTTTAAAAATAAGCTCCCATCTCTGAAAATCCTGGAGTGTATTGTTTTTATTTCTCTCTATAGTCATATTCTGCTTCATAAAGGAACTCCCTCAAACACTACAAGAGCAACATTCTTCCTATTGTGGAAAGGGAACTTCATGAGGACAGTGGTGACACCCAAGCAGGAAAAGCCCAAAGGGAACATCAGGCCAGCCATAAAACAAACTTGCATAGGAAAAGAGATTTAATAAAAGGTATTGAAAGAAGCCCCCTAGACAAAAGCCAAGTAATTAAGAAAGCTAGGAAAACAAGAAAAAGAAATCCCTTACAAACAACAGGTCATGCCAAATCAGCAAAACAAATAGACACAAAATATATTGCAAAGGAGACAGACAGGAGATTTCCACAAAACAAATATAAGAAAACATTAGGACGAAACTGATAATCCAATCAAACCACCCTGTGGAGTTTACCCTCCGCTGGAAATGAAGACAACCCATGACAGGATTTAAAACATTAAGAAATACAAACACAAGCACTCACACACAAAAGGAGGAAAAAAAGTATAAAAATTAGGGGTTTATTATACAAAGCAAGCTAGCCCCAGGAATGCAGACTTCTTGCTATCTCTTGCCTTCCTGAAAAATAAAAAGAACCAGCTTCCAAGCAGTTGTCTGTATCCTTGCACCGGAGCTCTCCCAGCAGGAAAACGAATCCTCAGAAGAAAGGCATTTTAAGCAGCCTTTCAACACTATGAAATGTATGGCTTTTTATTGTCAAAAACATCTGAAATCAAGGAAATATTCCCTCTCTTCCTTTTTTCAGGAGTATTCAGATTGTACCAACTATTGGCCAGCTCAAGAAGAAAGGGTATGGGGAATTGGTTGGGCTGCCATTCCCCCCCCCCACCCACCCCAATTCTCTTGTAGTCCAGTAAATGGCCTTTTAAATCTTTCTATTCATCTTTGGAAACTCCAGGTTTCAACAGAAGGTTAGTGAGTATGCTAGTGTTTGCCTGAAAATTTCTTCTAATCTTTTCCACATTTCTCTCTTCTTGTTCTAACTCTTCCTTTTGTCCCCTATCCTTTCTTCTCCCATATGGTCTTCCCACCCTGTGAGTGGTTTTAAGTCAATTTAAATGGAGGATTTTATAATGACACAGATCACTGCCACTGATTAATCTAATTGTTATGCTGCATTCTGTTTTAGCAAGTACTCTTGTCTAGGTAGTGAAGCAATTTTTAAAAATACAGATTATATTTAACAATAAAATAAATACTAAGATTATCTAACAATTAATAGCCTGGAAAATATGGTGTGTTTTACAGATTTCCTAAACAATAAGAGAGGAACATCTTGAATCTTCTAGTTTACATCCTGTGCTTTCCAGAAGTGATAGGGCTGGGACCTTCCATTTTCTTTTTCTTTTTCTTTCCGTTAAAAAATAAAGTTTATTAAAGATTTAAAATATATATATACAATACATAATATAAGACATTTCATTATAAAAGAAATCACTGTGAAAAACAAAACTAATACACACAAAACATATATGTTTCTCATCAATTAGACGGTGTGTTCTTTCCTCAAAAACAATTTTCCTAATATTCATTTCCTGTTGTTGGTAAATATTCTTAGTCTAACTCCTTTATTTTTTTTCCAGTCCTTATCTTTTTATTCTCTGGTTTTTATCCTTAATCCAACTGTACCATTTTTCCCAAACTGTACTATATTTTGAGTCTACCTCTTCCTTTAGTTTTTGGGTAAGTACATCCATTTTAGCGCAGTCTAGGACCTTCTAGATTATCAGATTGTTTGTTGGCATTTGGTCACCCTTCCAGCATTGTACCAACGCAATTCTTGCTGCCATAATTATATGGAGAATTAAACATTTCATTTCTTTTGTGTGATCGCCTTTTATCATTCCCAATAAAAATATTTTGGCTTTAAAGTCTGATTGAATATTTGTAATTTCTTTTATCCAAGTTCTAATTTTTTTCAGTATTTTTTACTTTCTGGAAAAAGCCACCAAGCATGGAAGAAGGTACCCCTCTTTTGCTTACATATTACATATTTTCAACGTAGCGGACCTAAGTTGGGTACATATTAGCTAACCTTGAAGGTGCCAGATACCACCAATAACACATTTTGTATTGATTTTCTTTATAGATTTTGTTACTTTATAATTTTGTTTTCAGATTCTTTCCCAATCTTCTAGATTGATGCTGTGCCCTACATTCCTTGCCTATGCAATCATTGGGCCTTTAACTATTTCTTCTGCCATTTCAAATTCTAATAGGTAGTTATACATTTTAGAAATTAATTTTTCATCTGTTCCCTCTAGTATTTTGTCTAACTGGTTCAGTTTTACCTCAATTCCAAATTCTTCTACGTCTTTTTTGTACCTCATATTAAGTTGCAAATAGGACCACCACTCTATTTTCATCCCTTGCTCTCTAAGTTCTTGATTCATCTTCAGTCTTCCTTGGGAGTTTAAAACATCATAGTATCTTATCTTTCTTCCAGTTTCTAAAGCATTGGGGTGGATCAATGCCTCCATGATGGATACCCACCCTGGAATCTTCATATAATGTCTATGTTTAATCTCTTTCCAAATCTTCAGTAATGAACTTCAAATTACATGTCTATTAAAGTAAGAATAACTTTTGTTTCCAGGGTTCCTCATGAAGGCATGCCACCCAGCCTGCAAGTCATGCCCTTCTAGAGTTAGGATTCTTTTGTTTCTCAGATTGGCCCATTCTTTAATCCATGTTAAGGCTGCCGCTTTATAGTAAAGTTCCCAGACAGGGAGTCCAAATCCACCTTTGTATCTATTATCTTGTAATGTGCTTAGTTTTATTCTCGCTCTTTTTCCTGACCAAATGAATTTTGTGGTAATTTTATTTAGTTCATTAAAAAAAATATCTAATTTTTATTGGGATAGTTTGAAAAAGAAATAGTAGTCTTGATAAGATGTTCATTTTGATGGTCGCAATTCTCCCTAACATTGATAATTGTATTTTCCCCCATTTTTCTAGGTCCCTTTTTATTTCTAGTACTAGTTTTACATAATTATCTTCTTTTATTGTTGAACATCTTGCTGTGAGCCAAATTCCCAGATATTTAATTTTTTTTACAATTTGTACACCCATGACTTCTACTAATTTCTTCTTTGTTTCTCTATTAAAATTTTTGTTATCATTTTAGTTTTGACTTTATTTATTGTTAAACCTGCCACTTGTCCATATCTCTCTATCTCTTTAATTAAATTTGGTCCTGGTTTTATTGGTTCTTCTATGAAGAATACAAGGTCTGCAAATGCTTGGGCCTTCTATCCTTCTTGTTAATTATTAATCCTTTTATTTCAGAATTCCATCTGATTCTTCTTAGCAAGATTTCTAGTGTCATGATAAAGAACAGAGGTGAAAGTGGACATCCCTGCCTGACTCCTTTTCCTATCTCGAATGAATTTGCCATTTCTCCGTTAATTATTATACATGCTTTTCGATTTGAGTATATTGACCCTAACATTTTTTCAAATTTGTCCCCAAATTTCATCTCCTTTACTTGCTGTGTCATAAATTGCCAATTTATCGAAGGGTTTTTGAATATCTAGAAAAACTAATGCAGCCTGCTTTTCTGAGTGCACCTCGTAGTACTCCAAGATGTCTAATACTGTTCTTTTATTGTTTTTTATTTGTCTTGTTGGTAGGAAACCATTTTGATCTGTATGTATGTATCTACTCAATTTTTTAAAAAAAACTATCAGCCATTATGTTCATGAATATTTTGTAGTCGGCGTTCAATAAAGAGATTGGTCTATAAGTTTTTATGTGAATAGTATATGTGCCCTCCTTTGTTATTAATGTAATGTATGCTTCTCTCCACAACATTGGTAGCTTTGCCCTTGTAAGTACTTCATTATAAATTTCTCAAAGAATTGGATCGAATATTTTGCCTAAGTTTTTATATAATTCTGCAGGTAGTCCGTCTGTTCCGGGGGTTTTATTATTTTTTAGTTTAATAATTGCCTCTTTTAGTTCGTCCTTAGTAATCTCTTCATTTAATCTTTCCCTTTCTTCTTCTGTTAGTATTGGAATATTTTCTTCCTCTAGGTATTGTTTAATTTTCTCTTCACTCATATCTTCTTGTTTATAAAGTTCACTAAAATATTCCAGTACTATTTCTTTTTTTTTTCCATGTTGTTTTGTATCTTTCCCTCCTTATCTTGTAATTGCTGGATCCATCTTTTTTCTTTTTCCTTCCTTAGCCTAGATGCAAGCCACCTTCCCGGATTATTTGTATTTTCAAAATAATTTTGCTTTACTAATTTCAAGGCTCTTAAATTTTTTTCCTGTTCTAATATGTTTAGTTTATGTTTAACTAAACTACATTTATTTATAATTTGCTCATTCCCTGGTGTTAATTGTGCTTGTTTTTCCAATTTTCTGATCTCATTCTGTAATTCATTACTTTCTTTTTCTTTTTTCTTTCTGGCATTATATGAAATTGTTAATCCTCTTAGGTAGACCTTCATTGTGTCCCACAAATTCTGTAAGGAAGTGTGTTCTTTTATATTCACTTCAAAAAACATTTCTAATTCTTTTTTTTTTTAATTTTTCTAAGTATTCCTTATGTGTCAGAATTTGTGGGCTCAACATCCATCTTTGTTTTTGTTGGCCTTTCCATGTTACTATTAGTGGGCTATGATCTACCCAAACTTTTGGTGCTATTTCTACCTGCTCTATGCCTTTCACTAGGGTTTTGCTTATCCATGCCATATCAGTTCTCAACCATGATTTATAGGGAATGGAATAAAAGGTGAATGGCTTTTCTTTTGGGTTGTGTGTTCTCCAAATATCTATTAGATTTTGTTCTTTTGCCATATTAAAAATGTTTTTGGAAGGGTGTCCTTTTTTTTCTTTCTTTTACTGGTATTTTGGTAATCCTTTTTTGTGTCTGCAACTGCGTTGAAGTCCCCTATCATACAAACATCTTCTTTGCCTAATTCTAGAATTTTCTCATGGGTTTTTTTGTAATAAATTTCTTGTTGTTTATTAGAAGCATATATTATGACAAGTAATAGTTTCCTCTGTTCCCATACAATTTCTAACATTAATGTTCTACCCACTGAATCTATATCTGAATCTTCTGCTTCTATTCCTTTTCTAACATATATTACTACCCCTCTTTTTTTTTCTTCTGCTAGTGCTGCATAAAGTTTTCCTAATTTTTTTATATTGTACATATTTTTGAATCCTGAGCTCTAATGTATACCTCCTGGAGGCACACTATATCCATTTTTTGTTTTGCCAATTTCTTCAGGGTTTGGTTCGTTTTGATGGGGAGTTAAGTCCATTTATATTTACTGACAATATTTTCAAATTATTTTCCATTTTCTTTCTTTGCCACTACTAACTAGTTCCTGCTGTGCCATGCCTCTGTTTGTGCCCTTGTTTTTACTCTGTTCTCTTCTTGTGGTCTTTCTTCTTTTCCTCTTTTTCCTGCACTTTTTCATTCCTTTCCAATTGTTGGTCATCTTGGCTGGCCGATTCCAATTCTTCTCTGCTACTACCGAGTTCTTCTATGCCTACCAATTGGGTGTGGAAGTCTTGTGCTTTATCCAGAGTGTCTATCTTAATTGTCTTCTCTTGCCACGACACCAACATTCCCTCTGGTGTTATCCATCTAAACAATATGTTGTTTTTATTAAGTCGGATGGTAAGAAAACAATATTCTTTCCTTTGTTCATGTACTCTTTTCGGGATTTGCTTTAATATTATGATCTCTTTTCCTTTATATGACATAGGCTTATCTCTGGTAATTTTGTAGATTATATCCCTCACTTTTTTCCATGTGAAACAGATGTGAACTTCTTTTGGCAATCTGAATCTTCTAGCATAATTTGTATAGACTTGGTAGACTTCATCCAACTCATTAATTATCTCACTCTTATCTCTTTGAAGTGCCTCTGCTATAATCTCGGCCATTATTGCTGTTAAATCTTCCTCTTTCGTCTCTTGTCTTTCATCTCTCTGAAATTGCAGGGAAAAAAAGTCTCTTTCCATTTCCAGCTGGATCAGTGAGTTCTCTACTTCCTTGTTCCTCTCTTTCATTTTCTGATGTACCGACTCTAATTTCTGTTCTGTTTTTTCTGTTCTCTTCTTGATCATTTGCAGTCTTTGGTCGTTCTTTTGTAAAACTTCAGGCTCACTTTCTCATCTAACTTCTGAATGTCATTTCTCACTTCTCTTTTCACTTCCTCTATTTCTATTTTCATTTCTCCATGGTTCCTAGTCATATTTTTCTGTAGGTTTATCATCCTTTCTTGTATTGATAATAAAGTGGCTGGCATGGTCTGTGCATTCATCGCGGAAGATGTTTATCTGTTGTAAGCATTCCTTCTATGGATCTTTGTGTAGATGGGGATAGTATCTCTGTAGTTGTTGCTGGAATGGGTTTCTTCCTGGTCTTCGCTGCAGTTGTTGTAATACTTGTCATTTCTTGTAGTATTCTATTTTGTTGTCCTAATATTCTTTCTATCTTCTCCCACAACACCATTCAATGTTCCCCTAATTTCTATCACCATCCTTATTCTACTCTGCAGTCTACAACTCTATATCTCACATTAAATCCTAATTATTTCAAAAAATTTCAAAAGTTAATTAAACTATGCAGTTTTACGAATCAATCCCAACATCCAGAGCAACACTTATATTAACTGTTTACCAATCTATTACTTCTAAATGTTCTTATATGTTTCTATTTGTTAATTCCTTAATACTTTAAATAATTAAATGTTTAAACAATTGATTGTTTAGCAGTTAACCTATACAATTAGATTCCTATGTCTAATAGTCAATTTAGATTTATAAAGTTACAGTTCTATATTCCAGTATAGCTTTAATAACAATAATACTTTACTAATAGGAGAAAACAGACAATATCCTGAATGGATCAGTCAATGTAATTCTTAGAGGGTATCTATATTAAATTCTTTAAATTATATTAAATTATATTACATAAACAGTCACTTTTTCTCTATATATACATTCTTCTTTATACCCTAGTTGATATATGGTTATATAAGAATAAATACCCTGTTTCTCCAACAATATGGCCTCCCCCAATAGGAAGTCCCAGCATGTTTTATAGGCATGAAATGAAATTAAGCCCCTCCCCACAAATTAAGGCCTATATTAAAACATGCGAAATGGGGGGGAATGGTGGGGGGGCTTGCCATTAGGAAGTACTTTTGTTGCACACCTGGATATGGTGCTGCCTGCGTTGACCCCGATACGAAGTACCCCACCAATGCCGAGGTCAACATCCAAGCCGTTGCCGCCTGCCCAAAGATGCAAGGGGAGGGAATTAAATCACCCCCGAAAAGACGGCCTAGCCATTTTTTCGGGGCTCAAAAAAAAAATAAGACCCAGCCTTATTATATGAGGAACACGGTATTTGAATATTTTATCACATAATATAAAACACAAAGAAGAAAAAAAGAGAGAAGAACTTAATCACAATATTTTTAAGTATATAAATATAAGTATTATAATCACTGTTGGCCATTAACTTTAAACAGAAATACTTTAAAAGTTCCAACCAGATTACTTGGGTCTTACTGTAGTGTTGAAAGCTGTGAGCTTAAAGAGTTAACTTTTACTTCCCTCCTTCAAAATGTCCGGCTCTCTAAGTTTTGCACTGTCACTGTCACTTTCCTTTTCAGTCTTTTTATTTGCTTCTTTGTTTCTTCTGCTATTACAATGTTATTCTTTTGGAAACTCAAAAATTTCAACCATCCTGTTCCAGTCAATCCACTTTTGCCTCTCCTCTTCTCCCAATTCACATACAGTCTATTACTTTCTCTTCTTTGTTCTTTCCTTCACTATTGCTGGCAACCTCCTTCGTCCTCTCCCTTTTCCACTCTCCTCACCATTTTCATTGTCCATGTGCCACTTTTTTTCCCCATTTTTTTTATTTCAATCTACATATAACAACAATACATTAATAGTGTGGCATCAATATATCCTACATCTCTCTTTGCATATATTCATATTAATTCATACATTCTTCAATATTTATTTTCAATCTTACTCTCTCCAAATGCCTACCACCATGTCAATTCTCATTTGGCAAGCAGTATAGTTCCAGGTTTCACATCTCAATACAAACATGACCATAATTACCTATTCATTTTATTTGCTTAATTTCATATTGCATCATCCTTGTCATTATTAAATATTAAACTTATCCAATTCCAATTCATGTTCTCATATCTTATTTTACAATATTATCTAAAATTCTCATCTCAATTCTGTGTTCATTTATTCAATTCCAAATCTTGATATATCTCCTTCCATTTTTCTTAGTATATTGTCATAACTTATTTTACAATGTTATCCAAAATTCTTATCTCCTTTCTATTGTCATTTCTCACATTATTTTTTTCTGTCACATTTGTCATTTTTATGAATGAGACTTCATCGAAACGTTGCCTAGATACTTCGAATCTTACGCGGGAGAAAACCCGAACAACCAAAGATCCATATATATATCAGATTCCACATTATATTTTCTCTATAAATCATCTATACTTTACAAAATACTATTTTCAATATATTCTTATACATCCCAACATATTGCCTTGCGGAATCCCCTTTCTTATCCCTTTTTTTTTCACCCATTATCTCTCACTCTTTGAACAATGTACCTTCTTTTCATCCTTGTTTGTTTCCTGTCCCTCTTTATTTTCTGGTCCTTTCTCTTAATTCCCCTTTTCCCCATTCTTATTCCGCTTCTTTTCTCATTCCAGTTATTAAACTTTTCTCTCTCCCTCTTTTGATTTTTCTTTTACACTTCCTTTTTCTGCTTTTTCCTTCTCTCTTTAACCATTTTCTGAACCATTCTCCCTTTTATCATCCCATCAGACCACAATTTTTTAATTCTAATCCCTTTTCCCCCTGCTTAAATAATTGTTGTTTGTTTTGTCCTTCTAAATTGGCTTCTTCTTTATAGAACTCCTCCCCCTCTGGTTCATTGTGTTCTTGTGTATGCTGACTCACCATTTCTAATTTCTGTAGTACATAATCACATTTCAAGTTTGATTTTTATCATGTCCCTTGTATCTTGCATATCCGATCTTATGTCTTGTGAGTCCAGTCTTATATCAACAAG